GGGGACACGATGCACGTCAACGTTTACGCAAGTCGCTTGCCAGAGAGGGGACACGATGCACATCAATGTTTAAGCAAGTAGTTTGTCGGGGAGCGGACACGATGCACGTCAACGTTTACGCAAGTAGCTTGCCAGTGAGGGACACGATGCACGTCAATGTTTACGCTAGTAGCTTGTCAGAGAGGGGACACGATGCACATCAATGTTTAAGCAAGTAGCTTGTCGGGGAGGGGAGACGATGCACGTCAATATGTAAGCAATTAGCTAGTCAGGGAGGCGGCACGATGCACGTCAATGTTTAAGCAAGTAGCTTGTCGGGGAAGGAACACGATGCACGTCAACGTTTACGCAAGTAGCTTGTCAAGGAGGGACACGATGCACGTCAATGTTTACGCAAGCAGCTTGTCATGGAGAGGGCACGATGCACGTCAATGTTTAAGCAATTTGCTAGTCAGGGAAGGGGCACGATTCACGTCAATGTTTACGGAAGTACCTCGTCAGGGAGGGACGCGATGCACGTCAATGTTTACGCAAGCAGCTTGTCAAGGAGGGACGCGATGCACGTCAATGTTTACGCAAGTAGCTTGTCAGGGAGGGACACGATGCACGTCAATGTTTAAGCAAGTAGCTTGCCAGGGGGGACACGATGCACGTCAATGTTTAAGCAAGTAGCTTGTCAGAGAGTGGGCACGATGCACGTCAATGTTTAAACAATTAGCTTGTCAGGGAGGGACACGATGCACGTCAATGTTTAAGCAATTAGCTAGTCAGGGAGAGACACGATGCGCGTCAATGTTTAAGCAAGTTGCTTGTCAAGGAGGGACGCGATGCACGTCAATGTTTAAGGAATTAGCTTGTCAGGGAGGGACACGATGCACGTCAATGTTTAAGCAAGTAGCTTGTCGAGGAGGGGACACGATGCACGTCAACGTTTATGCAAGTCGCTTGCCAGAGAGGGGACACGATGCACATCAATGTTTAAGCAAGTAGCTAGTCAGGGAGGGACACGATGCGCGTCAATGTTTAAGCAAGTTGCTTGTCAAGGAGGGATTCGATGCACGTCAATGTTTAAGGAATTAGCTTGTCAGGGAGGGACACGATGCACGTCATCGTTTACGCACGTAGTTTGCCAGAGAGGGGACACGATGCACATCAATGTTTAAGCAAGTAGCTTGTCTGGGAGCGGTCACGATGCACGTCAACGTTTAAGCAAGTTGCTTGTCAAGGAGGGACACGATGCACGTCAATGTTTACGCTAGTAGCTAGTCAGGGAGGGATACGATGCGCGTCAATGTTTAAGCAAGTTGCTTGTCGGGGAGGGGACACGATGCACGTCAATGTTTAAGCAAGTTGCTTGTCGGGGAGTGGACACGATGCACG